CACATTAAAAAAAGCACAGATGTGAACCTAGCCTAAGTGCAAGATTATTGTAGATTTAATACTGTAGTGAAAATACCTGACAATAATGCATTGGGATTAAATCCTATTAGCTGCATCTGAAGTATAATATTACATGTGCTGAAATATTCCACTCACAGCTGTAAAAATAGTGATCACCATGAAATTGAACACTGAACAGAAAATGCTGGGAAAGTCAAGAAAAGATGGGATGCAAAATCATTGTCCGTGGCAACCAAATAGAAGTTTTAATTCCCAAACCATCTTCGCAAAAATAATATAGAATAAAAATGTGACAGATTTAATCTGATGGGTTGCTGTAGGCACAACCACTAAAACCGTCATAAACTGTTTGCAATGTACTTGGCTATTGATTCAATCTACTGTAAGTGAACGAGTAACGATACATTCGGTCAAGTACTCGCAGATACCAAGTACTGATACTTTGCAGTGCGATTTGCATCCATACAAAATAATTGGGTGCAAATCGCACTGCAAGGCTTAGCAGAAATGTGCAATTCCTATAGCCCAATGCCCGGGACATGCAGTTCCGGGAGCTGGGCAACAAGTTTTTTCTTTATATTTAGCCCTGCTGCGGGCAAGCAGCAGGAATTACAGCTGACAGTCAGCTCTCTTGTAAAAGATCCGAGCGGCAAACTTGCCACCGGATCGCTTTTACAAGCGGCGGAGGGGATACCCCCCTTTCCGCGGGCTGTCGCATCGCACCAGGACACCTAATCGATCATCTGGCGCTACCGCCGGCTGATCATAAAAGGCGGAAAAAGCCAGGAACCGCTCTGTCCGTCTCTACAATATTGGAAACAAGAAGCATTTCACATACATCACTTCCAGTTTCCCCGGATATAAATGGCGTCATTTTTAAAAATGGAAAGAATTTGTGCGATTAAATGCTTTTAAGGACAGAGGAGGGATCTGGGGTCTTATTGACTCCATATGTCTCCATAAAGAGCACCTGTCACTGAATACTGGTGTCACAAAGGAAGTTTACATACAAAAATTAAAGTGACAGTGGTAAAATAATTAAAACGTTTTTATTTTTTTAAAGCATCCCAGTCCTCGCACACAAAGGCAAATACATTTGTTGGTCCTGCACACATGCAAACAGCAATCGGCCCACACATGTGATGCATCATCGTGACGGTCAGATCATGGGCAGTAATTCTAGTACCAGACCTCCTCTAAAAGCCTTTACAGGTTACCACCGTAGATTTACAAAGCATGGCCTATGCATAGTAAAATGTACCTCCTTTATTGCCGCTGCATGGGCGTGCGCAATTTTAAAATGTGACATGTTTGTAATCCATTTATTCAGTGTAACAACATCTTTTATATTTTACTAAAAAATTGGTTTAGTATTGTGTTTTTTGTATTAAAAACGCAAAAGTGTATTTTATCCAAAAAAATGCGTTTGAAAAACTGCTGCGCAAATATTTCTATATTCATTTTTAAAAGCCTCAGCCATTCCTAAAAGTACCTCTGCCTAATAAACATCAACCCTTCATATTTTCCATCCTGGCAAAAAATTTTTTTTTTTTTTTTTTTTTTAATCAGGACATGTAGATTGTCATGAGGGACAAGTAGATTGGAACCCTGATTTAGTGTAACACCATCTTTTATATTTTACTAAAAATATTGTTTTAGTATTTTTTTTTTTTTGCATTAAAACTCAAGTGTGTATTTTTTCCAAAAAAAATTGCGTTTGAAAAACTGCTGCACAAATATCATGCTACAAAAAAAAAAAAAAATTAAAAAACCCACCAATTTATACTCCAGGGACTCGGCTTTAAAAAAAATTTAAATAATATATTAATTCGCCATAAACCTTCTTTCATTTTTAAAAGCCTCAGCCATTCCTAAAAGTACCTCTGCCTAATAAACATCAACCAAGTAGAATGGAACCCTGATTTAGTCCTTGGACAAGTAGTTTTATTTTAAATTTCCACACCCCTGCACAGCATGCAAATTGAACAGGAATGCAGTGCAATTCCTGTCCAAATCGCATGCGGTTCCCCACTGCTCCTCTGTGAATCCAAGCTTGTTATAGCCTGAGATCACGCAGGAGCAGTGCGGGAAACCTCCCTGCAGGCATCCCATGCTGTCACACAATGCAAAGCTGCTTCACAAGTCTGGGAATTTGAAATCCCTGCGGTTTTCTCTCCTCTTCTTGTGACAGCATGGGATGCCTGGAGGGAGGTTTCCTGCACCGCTCCTGTGTGAATTCGGGATAGGACAAGCTGGGTTCACAAACGAGCAGTGGGGAACCACATGCGATTTGGACAGCAATCGCAGCGCATTCCTGTTCAAATTGCATGCTATTCTTTGCAGTGCGATTTGCGGACATTCATTTTCCATAGAAGCAAAATGCACCGCAAAGTATTGGTTTCGGGTATCAGGAGCATTTTCATGAGTACAAGCAAAAATAAAAATGGTGGCCTTGGTGCTTGCATCTTCAAAAACAGCTAAAAAGAGTGGGCATTTCTGCTGTTCTGAGGATTTGGCATGATTTGTGTGTTTTTTTTGAAAATCACGAATATATGTTAATTGGACTTTTTGTGAGAGTTTGATCATTTGATATATGTATATTTAAGCACAAGAAATTTTTCAGTATTTGATATTTGCTTTAGTAAGGCACCAAAACCTTATTCATATATTTTCCCTTTGTTATAAGGGACCACGATAGATATATCACCATGTTTATCCTGATAAGGATTTAAAAAGGGGGGATTTGTTTTCACAAAGTGTTACAAGTGATTCCTGTGGCTATCACAAGTTTTGCACTTTATTGGATCCATTTGGGATCAGAGTACTGCGTGTTTACATATTGGTTTGTCACTTATTATCAGTATCACTATTATATTATTTTTTATCAATGAGTAGTTGAGCACTATTATAATAATGTAATATTATATGTTAATTTAATTATTATTATTAGCGCTTCAATATATATATATATATATATATATATATATATATATATATATATAAATATATAGATAGATAGATAGATCTTCAAAAACAGGTTGGCATTGGCAGCTTCCAGAGTTGTAACCCGACAGTATACTGGTATCGGTGCCTAGTTCTGGCAATGGATTTTTTTTTTCTTGCTTTATTTAAGGATACAAAATTCAGCATTTCAGGATGGAAATATGGGCGCTCCTACCGCCATCTTGTTTTTAAACGCTGTAAGCATCAGTTTTTAATACTTATCCCTATTTCATTATAAAGTGGCTGACTAATGCAGTAGGAAGGCTTCCAGGGTTTCAGGTCAGGGACTAACTAGAGAAGCAAAAATAAAAATGGCGGCCTTAGTGCTTGTGTCTTCAAAAAGAAGCTGGCATTGGCAGCTCCCAGAGTTGTACCCAGACAGGTTCCCTTTAACCGTAATCTGGAGTAAACAGGTGGGAAGCAGTTGAATGGACATTTCTCCTCTAATGACTAACCAGAACATCCACACAACATAACAGATGTAAAAATCTGCAATGCAGTACAAGCTGTTGAAATGTGTTCCCAGGCTGGATAAATCCCCCCCCCCCCCAATAAAACAAAGAGAAGTGGTTTCCCTATCAGCTAGCTGGGCAGATCACTTCTCACCACTGCAAAGGCAATGTTCTTATTTTACTTTGATTCCTCCCAATTCTGTTGGGACTTGCAATCTTCTGTACATGATGCAAGTTCAAACACACACAGAACTGTAAACCGAAATTAACTGGGCAGGACGCAATGCTAGATTAACCCTTTTTCCTGTCACATGTGCCCCACAAAGGAAAATAAACTATAGTTTCGCTTTGCAAAGCGCTCTGAGAAAGTTCAAGTGGTTTTGTTTCAAAGACGAGGCTTGCTTAAAATGTTTTGTCCTCCTGTAGACCAGATGTTTAGTGTCTCCTTTATACACAAATACTTTGCTGCAGTATTTATTTAAAGCGGTAAAAAACCAAAATGGAAACATTATATTGCAGCTTACCAATTCTTAAATGTGATGGCTGCATTTGTTTTCACCCCATTTTCACCTGGTGATCCCACCAGGAAGTTGTTGTTTTTGAAAAGAACAAGCTCTCTTACAGATGTATCAGTTACAGGGATGAGACAAACTATTTAACATTTAACACTGGCAGGGGTGCTTACAATGATCAGCTTTTATGTAAAACCTTTATCCCAAAAGGAAAAAACGGTTTGCTATACAGCTTATAAAGTATTGGCTTACACCTCGGTCACACTGGATGTGAATTGGCATGCGATTTTGCATGCCATGCGGCTTGAAAATCGCACCCTATTGTCCACAATTAGAGCGGTCATATCGGTGTGGTTCTGACTTGTTCAGAGCCGCACCGATTTCTAAAGTAGTACATGCACTACTTTTGGTGTAATTTGCATAGACATCTGTGTCAGATGTCTTGCAAATAGCACCTGAAATCGGCATGTCACCCAACTTTGAAATTGTGTGACTTCACTGCAAGTCGCACGATTTCAAAGTCGGTTTTTGATGGGACCGGGGTGTTAAAGTGTTACTAAACCCACAACAGTAAAATCAGTCTGTATATGCAGTAAAGCATTCTTGTTATAATCACTGTGAAACCTAAAGGGTTAATCCTCCACATTGTGTAAAAATTCAGTATGGTCATGACTTCTCTGATCCTCTCCTTCTTCCAGTGTCTCCCTATCTCTTGATAAGATATCGTGTGGAGACACTCTGCACATGCTCAATTTAGTGTGTATTGCTAGAGAGGTTTTTTTTGTTTTCTTGGGAGAGTGCATGTGATCAGCACAGGGGCAATCAGCACTTTTGAAAGAGAGGTCAGTGGTTTTGCATCCTCCAAGAGCAGACAGAAAACTCCTCCTACAAGCTTTAACATGTGCTCTGCTGGACACTGATAGAAGTCACAAGACTGCTCCAACTGCTGATGGGAAAATGTATTTAGCAGTTTATATTTACTAAACTAATTGCATTTCCATGTTCCGTGTACTGGGAGAGACCAGATATAGTGAATGTAGGGTCCTGGGTTTAGTAACACTTTATGTTTGGCTCCAATTTGTTTTTTAGTGTATTTAAATCTGCTAGTACATCTAACACTCCCCTGCCCAAAGACTGACAATGCTGCTGTCTAAATGTGCCACCTGTGCGCTTTCATCCAGAGTGGGGGAACTGTAATACAGGAGGTGTGCTGTTGGCCCCATCACCAGGTGAAAACAGAGGGGAAAAAAAAGCCTAAAAGAGAAAACTAATGCAGCCACCACATTCAATGTCTGGTAAGCTGCAATAGAATACACTTTTGGGTTTGGGCTTAATAGCTTTAAAGCTTATATCTGGTCACACAGCTAAGGCTACATGAGCACTGGGCATTTAGCACCTGTGCATCAAAACACAGCATTTTGGTGCCCCTAAACACACGTCAGTACCACTCAGTAAAGAGTCTAGCTGCAGCATATTCCATCCTGTCATAGAGCCCATAGAATGAGGACAGTTGGGCAGTTGTGTCTCTTGGGCACAGGAAACCCCCAGCATTTGATGCACTGGGGCTAAATGCCCAGTGTGCATGAGGCTTAAAGATGCAGTTTAAATACAAGTATAAATGGCCTGACAAACTATTAGTGATTCTGTCCAGCCACTTGTAATTTGTACACCCCTGACATGCTGCATAGCCAGAAGGGTGACAACATCCTATTTCAGCTAAGAAATAGTTTGTCACCTGCTTGTCCTTAGCCTGCTGACTGCACAATGAAGGACTGATAAAGTTTTTTCTGCTCTGCAATCTTTCCATCAGTAAGCAAGTTCAAAGCCCGGTACACACAGGCATTTTTTGTTCATTAAAAAAAAAAAACAAAAAAACTCAGAGTTCTCTGTGCTAACTCTGCAATGTTAGCTCAGATCAGAGGGGAAATCGGTATACTATTGTGTTTAGACAGGGAAACTAAACCCCCACCAGAACACACTGGTCAGCACTTACAGCCAATGGCTGCTGTTATTTCCAGCATGCCCATTTGACAGACGCCGGATGTTCCTGGCTTCTGTCGGGCAGGTTGCTTTACCCATGGGCCAAATGTTGGGCAGTTTCTGTTGAACCTGGATGATATTCGGCCCGTGTGTACCCAGGCTTTAGACTGAGAACTCTGCAATACAAAAGAGACTAGAGCTGTGCATAGATGGATCAAAACTCGGCGCAGCGACTGGCCCAATTTTGATCTGTATGTGTCCACTCCCACTTGACAGAAGTCAATGGTTGGCCATGCTGGATTTATTGATCAGCAGCTGCAGCCACTGTCAGAATACAATGTTCCATCATCCACCTTGCTTTTGTGGATGGAGGATTTTTTTTTTCAGCCCGCTATCTGAACAAAATAAAACTAAACATCTATGCCCAGTTTATTAATATTGATTCTCCAGTCTTTCCTGGAGTCTAGCTTTAAAGCAACTGTATTGCATACCAAAGACAATGTCCTTATGTAACCTGACACAGTGCAAACATGTGATAAGTCCTAGAGGACAACCCATGACTAGAAGCGGTGCTGTATAAGGCAGATTTGCACTTTACTACCACATGCAAGGAAAAGACCAACCACTGCAGCAAGTATCAGCTGTTTTCTTTTTAGTCTCCTCTAGGTAGACCTCCTAACCATTAATAAAAACAAATTATATATATATATACACACATACATACACACACAATACTAATATATATATATATATATATATATATATATATATATATATATATATATATATATATATATATATATATATATACACACACACACACACATATATACACATACATATACACACATACATACACAAATACATACCCTGTCAAAAAATCACAAATTGCATAAGGCACAAACATAAGTAAAGGAACTGAAAGTGGTTCTAAAGGTCTATGCATTAAGGTAAAAAGCAACCTTCTGCATGCATCTCCCCCCAGTTATATTTACCTGAATCCGATCCCAATTCAGCGATGTGCACAAGAGCAGGAACTCTCTCAGCTCTCTCCTTATTGGACAGAGAGGCAGCAGCAAGAGCCATTGGCTTCTGCTGCTGTCAATCACAGCCGGTGAGTAGAGAGTGGGGCAGGGCCCTGAGACACACAGAGCTGGTTCGTGAGCGAGCACGCACAAGTGTCCCCATAGAAGGAGCTTGCTATGGAAGCACTCTGCAGGGGGGAGAAGCCAGAAGCGCTAGTTGAGGGGGCCACAGAAGAAAAGGATCCTGCTGCTCTGATCAAAACCATTGTGCAGAGCAGGCAAGTTTGTTATTTTTTTAAATTGCCATTAGACTCACTGGAAGTCCTTAAATTGGTTCTTAAGGATTTTTTTTACCTTAATGCATTCTCTGTATTAATTAAAAAAAGCTTTTGTCATTAGGATCCCCTCAGTCCCCTTATACGTACCTGAGCCTCATCTCGTTCCAGCGCTGTGCCTAACAGTAGCAGTTCTCTCCACTCTCTCTCCCCTTACAGGAATGGAGGTAGTAGTGGGGAGCCACTGGCTCCTGCTGCTGTGAGTCAAATCCTGTGACCAGGGAATGGGGGGTAGGACAGAGCCGTGCCGTCTGTCTATAGACACAGGCAGTGTGGCTTGGGATTGAGTCTGCAGGAGTGGCCCCATAGGAAGCGGCTTGCTATTGAGGCACTTGCCACAGAGGAACTTCAGCAGGTGTTCTCTTGACAATCATTAGAGGCCAAGTCCACCTTTTACAGAAAGTTAAATACACATATATTTGAATGGAATAACAATATACAAAGAATCAGGATCAGGGGTGCAATGCCAGGTTTCTGCAGACTCTTCCTCCAGCTCCCTGTCCACACTGAGGTACGGACTTTCAGCTGGAGATCTGGAGAAAGGGTCAATGGGCTACGAGTGTACTGATCAACACACTTATGTTCAATTGAGAACTACAAGTCTGTCTGCCACTGTGTTATACAGGGCTTAGTCCATTCATTTAAGGATCTCCATGAATGATAGAGCTAACAGGATTTCAAGCAGGCACAACAGGTATTTGTGCAAACAGACACAATCAATGGCATTATTTATCAAGGTGCAAATAAGAGAAGTGCATTGCAGGTGTTCACATACATTTTAAGGTGAAGGTGGTTTGGTTGTGGTGACATCAGGCATTTTCCTGGGCAGCATTGGTTATATCCTGTGACTATCTTTAGATTCATAGAATGCAATCGGAGAATCACCGGTACATAAACTGGCCTTGGGGCTCCTTGTGGGTTCTGGTAAAATCAACAATGGCACATGTCAGAATGTCTGAACAGCTGCTGCATCTGATTGGATGCATTCACTGTTCAAATTCTTGTCCGGCTCCTTTGTTTTTTCAATTGAAGAGTGTAGGGTGGGATGATACCAAAGTGAATTTCAGCCGGTTGATCAGGTACCAACTGAAATTTGCATAGTGTATGGCCAGCTTTGCAGGATATTTAGGCCTATAGAGAAGCAGGGAAGGTGTGTGTGCTGCAGGCACTTCTTCTACCAGCTTATCAAAAGTAAACAATAGTGATTAGACAGGGTTTTATGACAAGTCCTGGCTGGTAGTCTCTACAGGTTCCTCAAGTATCATCATTTTCAGCTACACTAGGAGACTGTCATCCAAGGGATGTGAGCACCTTTTTATAGACTTCTTATTTCAAGTATTAATTCTTTGATGCAATAAGCAATTGCAACCAATCAGAAGTCACTCTGCTGAAGTCTGAGCACTACAAGAAGAATTTTGATTTGCTTCTTTGGATTACTACTCTTTAGTCCTCATGCAACATTAGACATTTTTATAGCTCCTGTTTTTGGCTTTTGACATTTTTTTTTCTACAGCCAGTAAACCCCCCAGCATGTTATCCTATGTGTCCATGCACACAGACTGTAGTCGACGTTTTTTGGCAGGGGCAAATTTTGGATGGAAAAAAACCCAGGACTAGAGTGTTTCTAGGAGGAGTTTTTTAGCTGTAAAAATGCTAGAATGCTAAAAAACACAGTAAATCGTGGCAAACCAGCGTTTGTGAACTTTTTTTTCTACCAAAAAACAAAAGAAAAACAATATGTACTCCAATTTTTTTTTTGTAAAATATGAAAGAGGACGTTATGGCGAGTAAATAGATACCCAACATGTCACGCTATAAAACTGTGCACGCTTGTGGAATGGCGTGAAACTGCGTTACTTTAAAATCTCCATGGCTGATGCTTTAAAAATTTCTACAGGTTAGCAGTGTAAAGTTACAGAGAAGGTCCAGTGCTAAAATTATTGCTTTTTCGTTTAATGATGCCTCACGCATGTGGTTTGAATGACATTTACATATGTGGGCATGGCCTAGGTATGCGTTCACCACTATGTGTGAGCGGAGGGGGGGGGGGGGCACCTTAAAAAAACATTTTTAAATCGATTTGCTTTTTTTTGCACTGTCCCTTTAAAAAAAATTTTAACCACTTTTATTCTTATGACAAGAAATGCATGCATCCCTTGTGATAGAAATAATTAGTGACATGCCCTCTTTATGGAGAGATATGGGGTCAATAAGACATCTCTCCTCTGCAATGTAAAGCACTGGATCATAAAAAAAAAAAAAAAAAAAAAAAAAAAAAAAGATTAGTGCTTTAAAAAGAAACAAAAAATGGCCAGAAGGGGAAGTGACATCGCTCCGGTCCCCCAAAGGCATAGAGATGAGTGGTGGCCATCTTTCCTTCACTCATCTCTATGCCCAGCGCTGGGATCAAGTGTTTCTCAGGTAAGGCTCAGAACTACTGAGCGGTGGCTGGTGATGGCAGCGGCGGGCGGTTGGAGGTGAAGGGCAGGGGTTTTTTTGGTACCTGTATTGGTGCTCTTTTTTCATTTCGGCCAACAGCCGAAAAGTGTTTTTTCAGCCAAAACATGATTACATTTTACTTCATCATGGAGGTCGGCTAATAATTCACTATTAGGAATAAGAACTCTACTTAATAAGACTGTCAATCTCAAGCTCAAACAGTTCAAGCTTTCATCTTCTAGCACACATACA